ACACACACACACATTCTGATAAAGAATATCCTCTTTGTTTTTCTTCTTCCGTTCCCCTCTCGCTTCCCCATACACTTCTCACACATACTTCTCGACTACACAGTAATCTCAGTGGAGTCAGGGACTTTGACTATTTTCATCAGGGTTGTGGAAGACTGCAATTTCTTGATAAGGCACTTCTAGTCAAGCTTCTGTTAGCCCCACCAAATGATTGGATGGGGTGATGCAAATAAGGTGTGTGTAATACGGAGTCAGTTGGTCAGTTGAGCGATCTTTAAAGTGGCAGAGAGGACAGAGACCCTGAGCGCTTCGGAAGAACAGGTGTCAAAGATTTCTGTCTCAAGTGGTGGTGGTCATGGAAACCAGCCGCATCACAGACTACAGCAGGGAGGTTCAGAGTAGCAGCACTGAAACTATGGAGTAAGGGCTCCTTATCTGGCCAGAGACTATGGAATTGTGGGTCAGTAACTGGAGGGATGGCTTCTTGGCCCATGAAGGCTAAAGCCAAGGGCCCGTGTGGCTGAGGGACTGATAATAGTGGCTTCCAATGACTCGATCCTTACTGTTTGCTGATCCTGACTTGTGATAAGCTATTAACTTCCCTAATAAAACCCCTTAACTGTGAATACTGTCTGTGTGTTCCGTGCGGCCAGCAAGGACTTATGGGAGGCAGCATAGATAGATGTAGGATGGCGTGGGAAGAACGCCTGGTGTCAGAATAGGTAAAGGAGGATGGACCATGGAGGCCTGTTTGACCCCTGCCTCAGGGCAATAGCCAAGCCAGGAGGTCAGGGATGGCCTTCCACTGCCATTGATTGCAATGGTCTGTGTCTATAACAGGGTCTGGCACGAGGTGTGTGTGTGTGTGGGGGGGGGCACTCAATGGTGATGGAAATTTAAATAGTGCAGCTCTCTCCTTGGCTCTGAGCTGAATTAACTCGAGTCACATTTGTGCTATTTATTCTCTTCTTCAGTAAGCTTCTCACATGAATTCGAATGTCCTCAAGCCAATTCAGTCTTTATGTCCAGGAGGATATTAAACAATTCCTGCCCCCCACCCCCTTTGAAAAGCACGAGTCCTAAATTTCTCACCTACTGCAGGACAGCAACCTCTTCCGTTACCAGCATTTACTTTATTTCAAGGTTGTCTTTCCTATCTGTCCCTGATTTTATTCATCTAAGTGTTTCACTTTGTAATAAACTGATATACTTCTTTTAGAGTTGCTCTGCCCAGAGGAATGTAAAATATATATTCTTCTTTAAAGCAATTTTGGTCAAGTTTAGGATAATAAACGGTGATGAGGCAAAAAGAAAAAGTTTAGTGAAAAGAAAACTCACGTTTTATCCAAGAAGTCCATGAGTGGTCTTAATACAATCTCGGCATCCATGGCTGCGCTGTTCTTGTTGGTGGTGGTATTTCCATTGGACCGCATTTGATTTAATTCCAAACTCATTTGTTTCACACACTCTTCAATTACATGCCGGAAACTGAAAAAAAGGAAAATAAATTCTGGAATAAATGCAAACATGTATGCCTTCGTTTGCCCAAGTGTGTTTTCCACCCTAAGAAGTATACCCCACGTCCACGGCTCTGGCCCAAAGGAATCCAAATCCTGGACCATTTGATCATCAGTCAGCTCCTCAGAATGGCATTTGACCCTTTTCCAGATGAGGGCTGAAGGTGGGGGTGGTGCTGTTTTGTGGAAATGGGAATCATGGAGAAAATTAAGAAGGAGTGGGCTACTGGTCATGTGTGTATGTGATGGAGTGGGATAGAAGTGGACACAAAAGGTATATAAGGGAAGGTGACCAGAATTAAAGCGGGACACATTGACCGGGGGAGTGAAAGGGGGGGTTCTTGATTAAAAATTTGGTCTAGGTGGACCAGATACACCATTCCCTAGCTTGTCGTACATTCTTTCAAAAATTTTGGACTTTTTTAAAACACCAAAAAGGGGGACTGTCCCGCAAAAAGTGGGACGTCTGGTCACCTTAATGTAAGGGTAGTGTGTATATGTGATGGAGTGGGGTAAGGGTAGTGTGTGTATGTGATGGAGTGGGGTAGCAGAGGACACATAAGGTATGTAAGGGTAGTGTGTGTGTGTGTGTGTGTGTGTGTGAGATGGAGTGGGGTAGCAGAGGACACATAGGTATGTAAGGGTAGTGTGTGTATGTGATGGAGTGGGGTAAGGGTAGTGTGTGTATGTGATGGAGTAGGGGAAGGGTAGTGTGTGTATGTGATGGAGTGGGGTAAGTGGGGTAAGGGTCACCCGATTCATCACAGTAGCAAAATGACCGTTATGAAGTAGCAACAAAAATAATTTTATGGTTGGGGTCACCTCAACATGAGGAACTGTATAAAGGGTCATGGCATTAGAAAGCTTGAGAACCACTGGTCTAGGTCAAAGTAGCTAGCCTCCCAGGCAAAAGCCCTCCAAGTGTCTGCCTGGGGCCACCACTCGGTATTTCTTAACCTAGCTGTGTCTAGATGTTTTTCAAGTGATATTTTGTGTTTCAGCCTTTGCATCCTAAATATTCTCCCTTCAAGCAAAATAAAACAAAACCAAAAAAGTTCTCGTTCCTCTGGATAGTTTGGACCTATTCCAGAATGCAATTTCCAAATGCACTCTCTGTTTAGAATCTAATTTCCAGTCTGTGTAGTCATCTTATTTTCAGTACAGTTCTGAACACCTCCAGTCTATTTCTGACCCTTCCCAATTCCCTTATTATCTTTGCTAAGTAAACACTAATTTTGCCTTCCTTGCTGAAGGTAACAGCTTTTCTGCTAACCATAGGAGTTCCAAAAAAGAAAAAAATATATATAACCAATTCCCCATTCCCCCAAATAAATCCATTGAACTTAAAAGTGGACTCAGGATGACCCTAAACAGTGTCTCAGAGTGTTAATCTTCACATGGGCGGATAGTCGCATCTTCTTTCCACGGAGGAGCTCCGAACCAACCTGTAGTTCACAGTCCAATGCCAAATCCCTGCCTATCCCAGCTGAGCAAGACCCCGTCAGTAAATGCCACCTCAAATCAGAACCAGGGAGTCCCTGAATCTCTTGATAGTAGTCTCCATCTAACTCTGGATAAACAGAATCTTCTAATTGCTTATTAATTTCCATGATTCATTCTGGACAGGTAACACCCCAAAGGCAGAAAAATTACACTCAATACAGCAGGGCTGCGCCTGATGCAGGCACAGGTGTGCAAAGGTGGGCTCCAAAAATGGGAAGGCCACAGGGTCAGGAACACACCTCCGCTCCTGAAGAGGCGGCTAGAAACTGCATCCTGTTTCTCAGACTCTGCCTCCTGCCTGTATCTGGGAAAATCTGATGCTGCTCCTATCTTTTCCTTTGGAATCATTCCAATTTTTTTTTTTTATGCTGTAAAACACAAAATGAGATCAGGAGTGGACTACAGTGGGCTAGCCCCTGCTCTGAGAGACATTTTTATAGTCTCATTAGAGCACTCAGCACATAATTTTACATAATAAGTCAGTATTCATTGAAAATTTAAAGCCATTTCTGCACTACATGAAGGCAACTCATTAAAGATATGTTTGCTATTCTAGGTAGTTGAGCATTTGATGAGAAGGAGAAAGCTCGGTTCTACAGGGCCCAAATGAAGTTGCTTTAGTTAACCTGAACTTCTCTTTCATTAGGCCCACACTGCAGACAAGGCCTTAAACTGTTTCACCAAGGCTGCTTTTGCCGGAGAAATATTAAACTGTGTTGGCGCACAAGACACAGGTGAAGATGTATCAATTGGGCCTGAAAGATAATTGTATCTAGTTAGAGGAGAGAAATGGCATTTTCATTAACAGAAAATTAATACAGATGGATAGAAGTACTTAGGCCATTTACCTGTCTCCATAGGTAACACTGAGCTCATCCAAAACCCCATTGAGTTTAACTTGAAGTTCTTTGAGAATCGTACTAGCCTCAGGATCTAGCTGTAGAGAGACCAGAAACAATATTACTTTGCAGTTCTGAGAAAACGCGGCTTTCATCTTACAAGCGCTTAGATTGTCAGGTAAACTTCAAGCAATACACATCAAACATATGTATTTTTTACTTCCTCCCCACCCCATCTCTGAAATCGAATGCAAAAACACCTCTGAGCTTAGGAAATGGCAAAGAGACAAGGCTTCCTCTGCCCAGACCAGGAACGTCACCACATGCTTACACTTAAAGGAATTGTCAAGCTACACAACAGAACCTCTGTTGGTTGCAGCAAGGGGATGCGAGGCATGACAAAATATCTAGATCTGAAGGGAATTTCACAAGTCAGAAACTCTAACATGTACATCAGTGAAAAATGTATGTTGCTGTAAGGTATGTTCCATTCTTTAATGTCCTTGTGTGTAGTAGGCCCGTTGAGAACCTGGGGAATTGATACAAATAAAAAAGCAACTGAACTTTGGAGTACTGAATTGCACCTGACTTTGAATTGTTTTCATATGTTCGTAACGACTGAATTAAGCATAGTAAAATACGTTATCCAAGCACAGCAATGCTCTTTTTGAAATGACCGACTTGTCTTCTTTCTGAGGATGAGACTTTGTAACTTAAGCTCTAACGTTTAACTTTTTTTTTCATTTCCCTTCAAGCATTCAAATATTTTATAGCTTGGGGAGCAGATAATTTAGGAAATTTGAGGACGAAAAAGAATAGATCAGGTCAGGAGGTGAACTTGTGTTGATGCTTGTTCCTATACTGGAGGCCTTAGAGAGCCAATTTTTCTTTTTGCCAAGTTTCACTTTTTCAAATAAAGTTAATATTTTAATAAGGAAAACCTTATCATAAATAAGAGTCAATACCACCAACTTTTTCTTTGGTTTGTATAGTTAAAGTGAAGGCACAATACACATTTTACCATACATTTTATAAAGATTGATCCTATTTGCAAATTATGTTATTTGTCAACAAAATGGCTTATAGACAGATTGTATCAAGTAGAAGGAAATTCAGATAGTGTTAAATTGGAATATTTTCTGGAATGAAAGCCAATGGAAGATTTTATTTATTTATTTATTTGAGCCTTGGAAACTGAGTCTTATATCCCCAGTTCTTGCCAAAAAGAGTCTATTACAGGGGAAAAAAATGGGAGAGTGGGATTAAGCAAACATTTAGGAGTAGATAAAACACAAGGATGGCTTAGTATAAAAGAGACTCTAAATTAGATACAAAATAAATATGGGAGTTAGTCTAGAACTGGCTAATACTGAGCAACCTTTTGGAAGACGTATTATTTCAGCTCTCAGCAAGTAGGTAGCTCGTGGTTGCATTCATGTGACTGCAAAAATTGGAATGGATGAAAATTGAGATCAGTTTTTATTTGAATCCATGTGATTCCAGAATTGGTTAGTTTCCATCTCCCCTCAGTGAGAGCCAGTGATTCTGTTGGATTCTTCTTTTTTTTTCTTCTGTCACCATTATCCAGTAGACTCACAATTCTTGCCCAAAGATCCCAGGGCATCACTACAGAGGCTACCTGCTGTCTGCTGTTTAGCCAGCCCTAACTCATAGAGACCCTGATCAGAATGGCTCCAGAGGTTGAACGTTTTGACTATTCTTGAGTCTTATATTTTAGGAGAGTATTCCGTTCCAACCATATGCAAAGAAGTGATTTAGAAGGTATTTACCAAAAAATAAGACCTGAGACTGATAGGCATTTAAATGCAATTCATCTAACAAGCCAGGGTTCCCAATCCTTAAGTGTGCAATTATATGAAGGCTGCCCAGCCCCAGTCCTAGATGAACTTGCTAGATGTTTTTATTTTCTTTCTGTTGTCCAATATGCATTTTTATTTTATTTCATTTGCATAAAATGTGGACAGTAAGGAATGAGAGAAGAATTTCTCCCATTTGGTTTTCTTCAGGTTTTAGAGATGTTGTGGGGGAATATGAGGTAATTGTCCACCCACACATCCATCATCTCCAAGAAAATGGCTCTGAGAGTAGGATTTCCTTCAGGAAACGGTTTTGTTTACATTTAAAAAAACATTTCATTCTCCTATTAATGTGATGCATACACTGTACATTGTTTGTTCACCTGTTAAGATAACAGTTTTATATTCTCATTCAAAAGTGCCTATTTCGCCTGGATGAAATGATGCTATTTTCCCATGAGGTTATTTTTGTATGCCTGGATGTTTTGTGAATGAAAATTTATCATCGAATAATTGGTTATTCCTTAAACTGTCAAACTATCACATCTTAAACATTCCATGGCAGTTTCCACTTCTTAATGGAAGTAGGTGGAAACAAAATGTCTCTGCCTATCACATAACCAGGCCAAAATATTTAATGTTAAGTACTTAATATTGGATTAAAATCATACCATTAAAACAGGCATAGTAATAAACCTAGTTGTTGCAAATTGCAAGTCTCTCGCAAAAATAAAATTATAGAGCTTAAATACCATACTCATATCATTTCAAAACTATTTCTTTAGGCAGCAAAATTATTAGTTGAGTTTATCTGCATTTCTTGCAGTTAAATTGCAGTTAAATCTTTATTCCAGCAGACTTTCTAAAGTTTATTAAAAAAAATAATGGAATTTGAGATTTAATTGTCTAAATCACCAATATCTTACAACATATGATCTACTTTGGAATATAGCTACACATTTTATTTTCCTATAAAAGTTTAATGTCTAATTTAGCTAAGCAAGTAATATGATATCAAAATTGTATTATTTCCATGCAGAATTCGTGTTAAAAGCAAAATGAAGCATTTTCAAGCATTAAAAGTTACAAGACACTTGTTTTAAATAGGAAACTGGATAAACATTTGTACCTGAACTGAACTGACTAGCACAACATACTTAATAGAATGGTTCCAGGTAAAGATGAGTACTCAGTACTGACTCAATACAGGGGAGAATTGCCCCTGTGCGTTTCTGAGACTCGAACAGTTGATGGAAGATGAGTACACAAAACTAAAATGTAGTAATACTGACTCAAATTCTGAACTGAGCATTAAACTTGCAAAATATATTTCATTGCCATTGCACCAAAACCATTTGAGAATTCCGATGATCTTGGCTGGTAATTTCAGAATGAACTAGAGTCACATATAGGTGGGACCGGAGCTTTTACACCGTGAGGACGGTTTACACCACTGAGTTGTGGTGATATAATGAACTCATCTTGGAAGGACAACTGGGACAGCATCTTGTAGCTCCTTTTCCCCTTGGCTTACTTGCACTTCTCTTTTCAGAGTAATTCACTCATGACCTCCGTTTGCATCTTCCCACTGTTATTTTCCCACACAGTTAAGCATTTTACTATATAATATTCTCTTCCATTTGTTCTCTTAGAAGTCTCTCCCTTCCATGGAACTATCTTAATTTTCCATCCTGGTGTCTGTCGTGCATATCCAGGCATTGACGCCACAAGTCTGAAGGAGGCATGTAATACAATTAAAAGCATGGGGGAATTCCCTCAAAGAGGCAACTCTAAGATCTGGAGTCTATTCCTGCTCCTTAGACTGGGATCTTGCCTTGGATATCAATAAATGCTTTTATCTTGGAAATCCTTCACTCCTTTAGTGAACACAAATCCTAGAGTTTCCATGGCAGTTTAGATGGCAAATATTTTGTCTCATTGCCAGGCCTTGTCAGATCACATCTTAACGTTTGTTTGGCTCTGAAAATATAGTCATTCGACCTACTCAGCATGGTTTTGCTTTCTCTGACCAGCACGAAATCTTACCCCAGGAACCTAAATGGAATGTTTGCATTGATTATCATCTACTTAGCAACAATTAGTAAACCAACGATCAAGCCAGTGCTAGAGATATAACCTCTAGGTTGGAAAGTGACATTTACAGTCTTCAGAGAGTTTACTATTCTTAAAAACGAAAGACTTTTGTATGGCAGAAGCCAAGGATCTTTAGAGAAAATTTCATTGCTTCTTCAGAGTGTTCATTACGGCCTCATTTCCTTTGTCTTTTTTAGCAGGCCACTAACTCCTTTTCTCCTATTCGGTTCCTTTGCATTCAGGCTCCATTGTTTGCTCAGTTCAAGAAATGGGTATCAGGGAGGAAGCTCGCTCCCCTTGCTCTCCTACCCAGAGGATCCCGAATGTGACTGAGCACAGATATTTGAAACCTTCACTATTGCCTCTACGGAAAAGAAGGCATCACGACAGCGTGCAAGCCACTGCCATACAACAAGCAGAGGGAGGGGCAGGGTCTTTAATATTTGATTCCTTCAACTGCCATTCCCAATAGTCAGTCTGTTGACTATGATCTTTCATGTCAACGACTTCAACTACCACCTCTGGGCTACAGACTCCCAAATCATTTATAGCCTGTTCAGCGGGCCTGAGCATCATGCCTGCACCCCTAAGTGCCTTATTAAGCTTTCCCACAGGTGGTCCGCAGATCAAAAACTAAACTTACCACCCAGCCTTAGTGGATGCCTCGTCTTTGATTTCACTAACGGCATATAGTTATTCAAACCAGGAATGTCAATGTTATACCTTTGGCTCATTTTTCCAGAACGACATTCATTTTGGTGGCAAATAATACTGATTTTTTCCCAAATGTTTGTTTCTTTTGTGTAGTCCTTCTTTCCACAGCCCTTTAGCACAAGATTTCCATGCAAGCCATCATGACAATCATCTCCAAATCATTTTCTTGTTTCCTGTTTCCCTGCTATTCCAATTGCTCCTCCAGGGCTGCTCTCATCAAGCCCAAATCTGATCAAGGGACCTGCTGATCCCTTCCAGTTGGCTTTCAACCAGGTGTTTGCTTCAAACAATTTCTCATAATCGTACTTGGAGTCCTCCTGTTTATTATGTAACGATTGTGCTTGTCCAGAATTTGCATCTAGCCAGAACCTAGTATTATATAAAGTCTAGTTCAAATTAAACTCTGATTGGGAAATGAATGGGAACTCCCTATTGAATCCAGCATGAGATTACTCTCCTTGATATGCCTTTGA